CAGGGTGGGCGGCCATCTGCCTCGGCCGGTTGGGGGTGAGGGGAAAGAGAGAGCAAGAGAGAGAGAGAGAGAAGGACAGAAGGAGCAGAGAGGGAGACGAGCTGTATATCCAAGTGCGATGGAGACAAGCCCAATCCATTGTGGACTTGTTCTGGGAAAGATGGGTGAAAAATGAGCTGTCTGTAGGAATGACAGAACCAAGGAACATGAACTATTTTTACTTTTTTATTTCTAACTTTTAAGAACAAACATATGTACTACAAAAAAGGAGATTTTTGTATAATGTGAGTTACTGCAAGTTGGTAACTGATTTGTTTGAAAGTAGAAAGCTAAAAAAAAAAATGTATCAAATCTGCTTATGCAAATATTGATATTGCATTTTGTAATGGACACTTACACAACTCTTGTTGGACGTGAATTAGGGGCCGGAATGTTGTGGCCATTTGTATTTAATTTTTGTAAACTAAAAGTTCTATTTAGTTTTTGGGTGGTTAGAATATACTTCAGTTTGTTTGGAACCAAAATCCCAAATAAGTTGTTCTTTGGATTAATTATTCCAAACTAATTCAAGAGAGTGAGAACCAACCTGGCAGGGTGCTTGTCAAATGTGTGTAAACATGAGGTTCTACAAGGATTTTTTAACCATTTTTTTTGGACATTGTAGGATAAGATTAAGTTAACTTTCGTTTACATCTAAGATGGAAGATTGTTTAGTTATTATTGGGCTTATAAGTGTGCAATAAATTATGTTTTTTTTCAATTTTCAATTTTAAATCAATGCCAGCTTGTCCTCGCCTTGAACACCCATGCTATTGGCGTCATCTTGGCTAGCCGTGGGAATGTTAGCATGTAGTTCATCCCTGATTATCCACTTTCTTCTCATTCTTAATGACATTTCGTTCCCTTTTCACAATATCAACTCCTTATTATATACACTCACTGGCCACTTTATCAGGTACACCTTGATAGTACCAGGTGGGACCCCTTTTTGCCTTTAGACCACCCTAATCCTCCGTTGCATATATTCAACAAGGTACTGGAAACATCCCTCAGAGAGTTTGGTCATATTGACATGATGGTATCACACAGTTGCTGCAACAGAAAAATCCATGACTTTATCTTCAGAATTCCAATGCTTTAGTATGACAACTTCTGTACTTCAATTAAAAAAGAATGAATAGAGTGAATGACAGTGTGAACTGGAAATTTGTCCATTTACGGGACAGAAAAATATTTATTTCACACAAAAAATTGTAATACTACCTGGACCTAAAAAAGGAAATAACAATTCAACATATACATATATTTTCACTCTTTATTTTCTATATCTTTGTTCGTCAGAGCTTTTCAATAATTACAGACCAAATAACTTTTTTTTTTTTTATCATTCTTTTTAGTGCCCCATCAGTTTGTGATTTTCCTATGGAAAAGAATAAATATATCTGTATCTAAAATAACTTTCTGCTGTGAAACTACACACAGCACATTACCAGTGAGTTTATGCAGCTTAAACATTTAAAAATCACAGGATATGCTCATAAAAGAAACCTCGACTATGTGAATTAGTAACAAATAATCGAGATTCTTCTCAGTAGGACAAAAAAGCCAAAGAAATGCCATCCAGAGGAACCTTAGAACTATGCATTGGTATCGATTGGTAATCGGGTCCAAAG